TTCCCCCCCCCCCACAAGTTGTATATAGTTTATTTTCAACATAGTGTCAGTAAGTATCTCACTATGTGAATATCTCGTGATCTCCCTTCCTCTCTATCAAACAAACTTCCAAACAAGACAAATGGTACAAAAAACAAAAACAGCAATGAAGGGGAAAAAAAGATGTAACAATAACAGATACTGGTAGAGATGTGGCCAAAAGGAACTCTACTTCACTGTTGGTGAGAATGTAAACTTGTTCAACCACTCTGGAAAGCAAAATAGAGGTTCCTCAAAAGACTAAACATAGAGCTTCCCTGTGACCCAGCAATTCCATCTTGGGCATTTATCCAATAGACCGCAAACCAGGCTTAAAGCTACCACCACTAAAGCTACCAACACATGTTCATTGCAGCATTGTTTACCATAGCCAAGACATGGAATCAACTCAGATGCCCCTCAATGGATGAATTAATCAAGAAAATGTGATATATCTATATCTAACTATCTATAATGGAATTCTACTCTTTCATCAGACAGAATAATATCATACCATTCGTAAGGAAATGGAAAGACTTGGAAAAAATAATATTCAGTGAAGTAAGCCAGGCCCAAAGAAACATAGGTTGCATGGTTTCCCTCATTAGTTGTAACTAAAATGTACCTACAAATCTACAAATGATAAAACAAAACAATACACTTGAATATGATAAATTATTCAGGTCTCTAGACATTCACACAGTGAGACCAAAGGAGGATATTCTTAGGAGGGGACCACAAAGGCTCAATAGCTATGTGCATATGATCATATAAAATGAGATTTATCAAAATGAACTACAGAAGTAGAAATGTAAAGTCTTTAATGATTTTAGAAAGATCTTTGGGGTATTTTGAGACTTCTAATAGTGAAGATGCATGATCTGCATTATTTGCCTTTTTTGCATTTATTATAGACTAATAATCAAGTCTTCCATTTCTTTGTATCTCCATGGTACCTACAGAGATTCTGTCAGAATCCCTAAACAGTTCGTTGAATGTGTTGGGTGACACAGCTGTGTCATATATTAACTTGTAACCAAGCCTGGTGTAAGGCACAAATAACACCAATGGCATGCCCAAATGATTCCTCAGTCAAATATCACTGCTTCTTTCCAAAGAATGCTGTCCAGACGAAGTCCATTTACCAATCCTACTCCAGGCCCTATTGTGTTCTACCTGCTCTGTCTCTGAGGGCATGGGCCAACTGCTTTCTAGCCTTCCATTTGGATTAGGCTAACAGGAAGCAGGAAATCCTCAGAAAAGGCAGACAGTGAGGGTGCAGTCTGATAGGATTGGCTATGTTCCATTACTATTATTATTATTTGTCGGTCATGGGGCTTGAACACGGAGCCTGGGCACTGTCCCTCAGCTCTTCAGCTCAAGGCTACTGCTCTACCACTTGAGCACAGTGCACTTCTTGTTTTCTGGTGGTTAATTGGAGATAAGAATCTCACAGGGACTTTTCTGCCTGGGCTGGCTTTGAAGTGTGATCCTCAGATCTCAGCCTCCTGAGTAGCTAGGATTACAAGTATGAGCCACCAGTGCCCGGCTTGTGTTTCTTTATTAAAGGCCCTCTCCGTATCATTTTTCTTGGGCTTGTAGGCCATGAACACTGCCCACACTTTGTAAGCGGTCCCTTAGTGAACTTCTCCAAACAATCTGAAGATCCCTGATACTTTGCTGGGCCCCTGACAAGTATTTGCCCAAATCACACAGATAACAAAGTTGGTTCAATCTAGCTCCCACAGCCTGTCTCCCTTGTATTATTTCCAACTAAATACTCTCTTCCAGGTCACCTGACCTCCAAATTAGAATCAACTGGAGCAGGGGTGAGCAAGCTACAGCTCACAGGCCAAATCCCACCCACAAACGGTCTGTTTCTGTAAATGGGGCTTTATTGGAGTACACCCAGTATCATTTGTTTACTGTCTCTGTCTGCTTTTGAGCTATGATGGGAGGTGAAGGGTTGCAACAGAATCTTTATGGCCTGCAAAGTCTAAACTGTTTGTCATATGACCCATGATAGGAAAAGTTTACTGATCCTTGACTTAGTGGGAAAGTAGACATATGAAGTTCATCATTTTCATCAAAGGCTCCTGGGCCAGATGCTGGGGGGGCACTTGTGAGTGACCCCAGGAGAGTTAATGGGAGGTGTTTGACTCCAACCTGACAGGCTCTTGTGGAGACTGGCTCTTGTTGCTGTGCAACTGCTATAGTGACCCAGGAAGACACTCGATCTACTCAACAACAACAAAAAAGAATGTGACTAAGAAAAAGGAGGAGGCATTTGCATTGGTCATTCGTGCTTTCAGAAATATTTCTTGAAAAGAGTGGCTGGCCCAAGTGTGTTTGCATTTCCATATCAATGTTATGCTGTACAAAGCTGACTCCCCTACCTGAGCATGCTGTCTCTTAAGAATACAGCTTGCAGTTATATCTATCCTTACCAGTGTCTGGCACAGAGTTGCCCAATGTTCAATAAACAGTTTCACCAAATGGTATTCAATGTTTAAAAACAGAAAGAAAAGAGAAATAGAGGGTAGAGGTGTGTTAGACAGTTCTTCTGCTCTCATGGGCCCTTACCTGCTTGACCCTCAAGATTAAGAACAGCTAGCTATAAGATGAGGCAATCCATCTGGTAAAGGTGTCTCTCAGGGAAGACTGGCTACATAACTTGTATAAATGAAAATCCAGAGCTTCTTGTTCAAAACTCAGTAAGAAATTGAAGGCAGGCTCAGTAGAGGACTGAGTAAGGCCCGCTAAACCTGAGGAGGCTGTGTATCAGTGAGAAAGAGGCCACTCGTAGGAGGTCAGGGAGATCCTTTATCTCTAGAGCCACTCCAAAGGCAGTTCAGACTGTTGGGACTCTGCAGTGTTAGACAGCTGAAACTGCCTGATCTGGGATAAGGAATCACCTCCAAAGTGTCTGCAATATCTCCAACCAGCCCACAGGAGCAATTGCTTTTCCCAGTTCCTGCTTGTTCTGCCTGTGCCTCTCTGTTTTTGGTTTAATCCCTGGTCATCTAAACAGCCAGTTCATGCTAACATGTCTTATGGACAGCCAGTTTAGCTATTTCTTTTCTGGGTTTACACGACTGTCTTTACCCAGTGTTTATACATGACTGATTCCTTATCTTGCCCCCAGAATCCTCCCCTGCTTCTCTTATCACCACAACTGGATACAGAGACCACTGTGCAGAGAGCCCTGGAAGTCTTTCCTGCCCTGAAGGCTGAGCCTTCCCTTCTCTTGGGATCCTAGTGAGTTTCTGGGAGGTTACCAGGTGGTGACAATGCTGGGGTGTGGAGCTCTGACTTTTTGCAAGACTCTTGAGACATGCTTCCCTTTTTTTTTTAATTGTGAAAATACTGTACAGAATGGTTACAATTAAGTGGGCAAGGTAATGAATACATTTCTTTTTTTTTATTGTGAAAATACCATACAGAGGGTTACAATTAGGTGGGCAAGGTAATGAGTACATTTCTTATCAAGCATTGTTGCCTCCTCCTTTGTTTCCCCTTCCCATCCCTTCCCATCTCCCATCCCCCCTACTGCCCCCCCCCCAGCCAAAGTTCTAAAGTTTGTTTTTTGACATAACATCTTGTACATCTCATTGTTGCAATGGGTTCACCTTCCTCTCCACAAATTATACCAGTATCAAATACAGTGAAAACAGGGGTTATACCGTGGGGGAGGGACATACAAAGCAACAAAGAAATATCTTATAAATATGTTAGAAGCAATAGCAAGAAAGAAAAAAATTTGAGTCTTTAGCTTGGGGTTCATTTCGCCTAACATCAACTTACTGACCATTTCTGCTTGTCTCAGACATATACTAGTTATTGCAAATAAGGGAAACCATGGGACCTATGTTTCTTTGGGCCTGGCTTACTTCACTTAATATAATTTTTCCAAGTCTTTCCATTTCCTAACAAATGGGGCAATGCCATTCTTTCTAATGGAGGCATAGAATTCCATTGTGCATATATGTACAACATTTTCAGCAGATGCTGGAGGGGATGTGGACAGAAGGGACTCCTACTGCATTGTTGGTGGGGATGTAAACTTGTTCAACCACTTGGAAAGTAGTTTGGAGGTTCCTCAAAAGACTCATAGAGCTCCCCTATGACCCAGCAATCCCACTTTTGGGTATTTACCCAAATGATCACAAACAAGACCATACTAAAGCTACCAGCACAACTATGTTTATTGCAGCATTATTTACCATAGCTAAGATATGGAACCAACCCAGATGCCCCTCAGTAGATGAATGGATCAAGAAAATGTGGTATGCTTCCTTTTGATTGGCCGGTTCTACTTCCTCCAAACAACTGCCTCCCTCAGTGCCTCCTCAGCCCCTTCCTGCTGCAGCGTGAGCTCAGGGCTCCCTGCTAGCTCCCTGCTTGTGGGAGAGACAATGTCGACAGTCTCTCCGAGGCTGGCATAGGGGCTGTTCCACAGTGCCAGGAAGCTACCCTTCCAGGCCTGATGATGACAGCTCCAGGGTTCTTACCCTGTGTGCATGAGCAGAAGATGGCATTGCCTATTTCGACGGAGTGTGCTAAGGAAGTGTGCTTGAGTATTTATTTCATCCCCACAAAGGTGTGATTCCAGCATTATGGTGCCACCAACACCAGAACTGTCCTTTAGGGAGGCACAGAGTCACCAAACTCTCACCTTAGGGAATCATAGTAGATAAGGGATTGTGCAATAAAGGCTGCAGTTAAGCCTGATGGAGTGAGTTTGCCTTTGATCCAAAACATGGAATGACAATCCCCAAGGCAAGTGTAGTCTTCTGCTGAACTTGGGGTGATGGGCTCTGTCTGGTCTCATTTGTCTTCCTGTGGCCAATATAACTTTAATGACAGTAGCTCTGTGCACACAGCTTGGGTGACAGTGAAGGCAGCTGTGGCCCCAGTGGATCCTCACCATACTCGCCCAGCTCCTGATGGCTCACACAGTACCTGTGTTCTATCTCTCACAGGGATCCCGGTGGCACATAGAGCTCCAGCCATGGGCAGGCCCTGCTCAGTCCCTAGAAGAGGAGGCCTCGAGGTTCCTGAGATACATCAACACCATGCAGGTTAGGTTTCAGCCTTACCTGGGTTTGGAAGTCATGTCAAAGATACTGACTGCCCCTTTGAAAGAAGAGTTTGTCCCTGAGGGGTGGGAGGTTGCTAGTGGTTCTTGGAAGGCTCACAGTTATTGGCTCCCTCAGAGGAGGATAAAGATGCTTCCACTTGCTGAAGCATCTTCTTCCTTCCAGAAGCCTCATCAACCTGAAGCATTTTAATGATTCATCCTGGAGTGTTTTAAAGATCCACTTTAGAAAATTGCTTTGGAAAAGCATTTGAAGCAACAGATTTGTCCCTATGAGAAAGCAGTTGAGCATGTCACAGAACAAAACCATCATCTGGAGGCTCAAACTCCAATTTGTATTTGGAGATATTTGCCTTCTCACTTCTCTGCTGGGGAGGCTTGGCAGCCAGGGACACACTAGGCCAGAGAGCAGAGGAAATTCTGAGACAGAGCACTGCTTAATGAATCCAAAGGCTTTCACTCTCTTGGAGCACTTTAACTCATTACCAAGCAGCAGCTGTTATTAGTGGCTTAACACACAGTGGCAGCTCCTGCCCAGCTTGAGGCTGAGTCGACCAAACAGGCAAGAGACCATCTATTAAGGAGAGTCTATGTCTCTTGACACATTAATCAGAAGGTACTGCTCTTGTGGCAGTTATAAGAGGGGATCTAGGCCCCAGGGATACTTAGCCCTGAACTAAGAGGTGCCAGTGAATTAGGCGCTGAGCATAGGCCCATCTGGGAAGCTGTCCAGGTAGAGTGAAGTATATGAATAAGTGTGACTCCAGGGATCCTAAATTCTTTTGATTTCCTTTAGTCCACTGGCTCTGGGCACTTCATTTCTCTGAGCCTCACTGGAAGTAAATCTAATTTTTCATTTGTGGAAGAGGATATATTTCTAGATTTTTTTGGAGGGGTGTGTGTGTGGTGGACAGATTATACTACAAAGCCCAGGCTGGCCTCAAACTCCTGATCTTCCTGCTTCAGATTTCTGAGTGTTGGGATTGCAGGTGTGTGCAACCATGCATGGCTTACTTTAGGAACTTTAGGAGGCTAGTTCAGGGGTAAAAGAGAGTGTCATTTCTTATATGACATGGTCAGTCAAGCAGGAATTTTAATATTTGTCATTCAAACATGGAATTCAAAGTTTGTGGAAATAATGGTGTATGATGGAATGATAAGTTGGTTCTTTTGCTTTACAAAATTCATCTTTTACTACTGAAAGTTAGTCTGGTGGACTTATGCAGATTAATTAGTATACTGAAATCTTAGTTTTACAGTTTGGCGTTACAAAGGATTGGGAACTAGAACTCTTAATTATGTTTTAAAAAATTTTCTAGGCCCTAGAGAGAAATGAGGAGTGTTAAATTTATGAGTTGAATTTGGGAACTTAGGAGCCCATCCTCCAAAATTAATTTACTGAGTGCAAGAGTCCAAATTCTATTTTATGTGTATTTTATGTTAATGTTCTATAATTTATACAGGTGTATTTACTTAGAAGATGTTCTTGAAGCATGCAATGGTCATGCAATTTCAGGCTCCTGGATTTTCTCATGAGCTGTGGGCTAAGAGGAGAAAAAGTCTTAAAATCAGTGAAAGCATTCTGTGATATAATATAGTCTGATGTTGTAACTTTGAGCAATTTACTTTGCTTCTATGGCTCTCACTGTTCTGATACTGAGAGAGAAGAGAAAGAGATTGGATCAGACAGTTTCTAATGTCTTCCCAGTTCTGTGACCTTGTAGTATGCAGATATTAGGGTAAGGATATGCTTAACTAAGCTTTCTTGTTTTTTGTTTGTTTGTTTTGGTGCTGGTCCTCGGGCTTGAACTCAAGATCCTAGGCACTGTCCTTGAAATTCTTTTGCTTAAGGCTAACATTCTACCACTTGAGCCACAGCTCTATTTCTGGCATTTTTGTAGTTCATTGGAGATGAGTCTCACGAATTTTCTTGACCAGGTTGGCTTTGAACCACCATCCTCAGATCTCAGACCCCTGAGTAGTTAAGATTACAGGCACGAGCCACATGGCTTAACTAAATATTTTTGAATACCTACAACATGCCAGGAACAGAAGTAGACCCTGGAGATAGTCTGTGCCCTCAAGGAGCTGATGAATGAGTTGTGAAGATAGATAAGTCCACATTTAATTATTATTCAGCTTAATCAATGCAATAGTAGAGGTTTGATTGTTAAATCTGCAAAGGAGAGAAAGATCCTTTCTGCCTTTGAGTTCTTATGTGCGTTATCTAGGATCAATTAACACAAGAACACAAGAAGAGAAACACATAAAAGTTTTATTAAACTTGCATATATATGGAGATCTTCATAAGAGAATGAAGTCTAGATAAATGACCAATGTATAATGATTTTATGTTTTGGGTGAAGAACAGTAAACTTATGAAGGAATAACAGGACAAATGGAGCTCTAGACTAGAGCAGTAATTAGTAATTTTTATTTTCTTTTTTTTTTTGTGCCAGTTCTGGGGCTTGAACTCAGGGCCTAGATGCTGTCTCTTAGGTTTTTCTCTCAGAGTTGGTACTGTACCACTTGAGTCACAGATCTAATTTTGCTTTTTGCTTGCTAATTGGAGATAAGAATGGACTTTCCTGCCTGGGTTGGCTTAGAACTGTGATCCTCAGATCTCAATCTTCTTCAGTAGCTAGGATTACAGTGCCAGGCAGAGCAGTACATTTTACAGGTGCTTCCAAGACATACATTCAGTTTCATTATGGGTAGATACATAGATGAGATATAGATGACAATCAGATTAAAAAACAGACTTTAAAACACTTCAGTTTTTCTAGTTCAGAGCAGCCACTGTAGGTTAGATTAATTTTATACTGCAAGACTTGCTTCCTGGAAGCATATGGTCTGGGGGTTGACAACATGGTGAAAATATTATCAACCAAGTATTTCTGTGCCAGTACTGGTCTTGAACTCAGTTTCATTGTGGTCTCAATTACTATACTTTGGTGATCAAGGCAAATTTCCCATGAATCTGACTTGCTGCATGTAACACAAGACAGGCCACGTGGCCCTTTCTGAAGGTATAGTTTCTCAAGTGATTGTAGCTTGAAATGATCAACACACCAATTCAGACTATTGGAGATGGCATATTCTCAAGCCCTGAAAAGCTCATTAAAAGGGATTTTTGTCCTCCAGAAAGAACAAAATAAATTCCCAGACATGACAATGGCTTTGCAATCAGGAGCCATTTGATCTAGGCAAAGCACTGTGCTTTGATTCACTTCCAGGTTAACAAGAGGCCAGCAAGTGGGAGCAATCAGCAATGACACTAAGTGATTCTTATCAGGATCTTTTGCTAATTCTTGCTCCATCCCCTTCTCTGGGTAATGGAGAACTTTTGGGTTGCTTTTGTGGCTTCTGCCTGATTTAGAGCTCATCTTAACAATGAAAGCCTGCAAAACTGACAGAATATTGGAGTCACTGTTACCTAAACCTTTTCAGTTAGCAGTAGTGAGTCATAATGGGTTAGGAAAGAAGAGCTCTGTACATCCCTGAAAGTACTAAAGCATATTCCATCCCCATCTTCTTATTATAGCTTTTAAAATAAGAAATCATGTCTCTCAAATCTGTACACTTGTACAAGACTCCATATTTGATATATCCACTGTTGATTCTTTTCATGTATCAGTGGCAACAGGCATTTGCTGAGCAGTTGCTCTGTGCCTGGTACTGTGCTGGCTTCTGGGATGTCAAACCTGAATATAATACTCCCATATGCTGGCAATCAGCTCATCTTCAAGAGAAATCTAGGTGGGGAAGGTACCCTAGGCTAACGGAGCTGAGGAATAGAGGCAGAGGGCATGGGCCAGACTGGCACCATAACAGCTGCTGGCATGGCACACCTGCACTCTCACAGCACAGTGTCCCTGGTGGCACCACTGGACTCCTGCACGTCTAACAAAACATCAGAGGAATATGGCATGCAGAACACCAGCTGAGTTTCATTAGAAATCCCTTTATATATTTTTTTATATTTCTTTCTTATGAAAGACTATGAGTGCATAGCAGAGTTCTGCAGTTGATGATACAATCTGCTGCTAACAAGAAATGGTTAAATCATAAACATAGTGCTCTGTTCTGAGAGAAGGCTCCAGATCCAGCTTTTTATGTCAACCCCCAAACCATATGCCTCCAGGAAGCAAGCCTTGCAGTACAAAATTAATCTAAGCTATGGTGGCTATTCTGAACTAGAAAAATGTTTTAAAGTCTGTTTTTTATCTATCTATCTATCTATCTACTCACCTATTTGTAAGAATAACCTATGAACTCAAGTTTTTGAGATGTAGACAATAAATTAACAACATTATATAACAATAGTATTTTTACATTTACTCTCTCTTCACTCCACACCCCCCACCCCCCATACCAGAACAAAAACAACAAATGTTTCTTTCTGCCCTTGAGCCTTCCAAAACAATGGGGCTGCATAAACAGTTGATTGTTAAGGAATTTTTGCCAACAGTCTCCAAATTTTAAAGACTGCCTTTGCCACATTCACTTATGAGCTGGCAGGAATGCTACTCAAGCTTTTGGGCTACAAAAAGAAAAAGAAAAAGAAATGAATATAAATTAGTTCCCTTTAAGCTAACTAACTAAAAATGAAAATATTTTAGAAAACATTTTTTGCCCTGGAGTCTATTTTTCTTTATCCAGGCCTAATTTGTTTTTCTATGGCTAAAATTACAAGGGGAATTAGGCAGACAGAGAGCATAATTACTTGAGTTAGAGCAAACTCCACATTGCTATCCTGGCCTCTTTTGCTTGCAAGAGATCTTATTGAAGCCCTGGCCATCAATCTTAACTAGAAAGTGTGAAAAGTCAATATTTAATTAATTTTAGGAGAGAATTTCATGGAGAACTTCTAGACGTTTTTGAAAGCTAATGTCTGTCAATGAGATGGTTAGTAAATGGTTCAAATTGGCTAACTCCCACGTTTTATTTTTGAGCTGAGACAGGAAGGAGACTGGATGGCAATGATGTATCTTTAAGAGGAATGTAACTGTGTAAGACAAGAATATTATAATAAGAAAAATGCGAAACAAGACCAACCGTTATCTATAGCACAGCAAACTCTAGTCAATGCTGTTAGCAAAGGAGGACCAGCTGGACTTCAAAGTCTTAACTCTTGGTTTCTAATAGTGACGTTTGGAAGGTTTTAGTTAGCTGTGGGTACCAGTCCCCTCTGGCCTTTTGTTAGGAATGGGAGTGGAGTGAGGGCCTGCTATGTTTCTTTGGAAGCTCTGGCCCATGTATAACCTTAAATTTCTAAGAAACTGTCAAGATCAGTTTGGAACCTTGTGACTTTACAAATGGTCAGGCCACCAGGAAACCCCCAGGATTGCCCACCTAAGAATCACCTGGGGAAGCATAATTCATGTTCCCAGGAGTCAGTGTTTACGATTCGAATTTGCAGATGTGGAGTGGGACCCAGAAACCTGAATGTTAAGTATTTCCCAAGTGATTCTACTGCAGTTGGATTGTACCTTAAGGAGCGTTGTGGAAGAAACCAAGTTAGATTTTGATGGTGCTAGGAGGAAAGTATGAATGTCTGTCATTATGTAGCAACTGGAAGCATCAACCAGCGCAGTAATAAACAGGAAGGTGCCCTACAGCGATTGGCTCAGGCTTCTGAAGTCCAGTTACACCTTGGAGGTCTCAGAACTTCCCTGGACTAACCTGCTTCCTGCTAGCAGCAGGTCTGAACAGAAAAGGCAAGTGGAGGAGGATGCAGCCCACATTCAAGGCACAGCAATCTGCCTCACCACAGTAGATCAGAGCCCAATATGCACAGAGCCTTGACTAATATGCACAGAGCCCTGACTAATTACATTAGCCATTCCCCCGATCTTGGGTGGATGCGTGGGGAAGAGGAAGTGGCCTAGCAGTGTCTCCTCTTCTCTTTGAGAGGAGAGTGGAAGGTGAAGTATAGAAGGATACCATACTGATGTACTCAGCTAATACATGTATTCTGTACTAGTTGCGTGAGAGAGTGAGAGTGAGAGTTCCATTTTTTATTTCTTTTTCCTTTAGGCAGTGGTTAGAGATAGAGAAATAGAAAGATACTAGTAGAAAGAAAAAAAACTAGTGCTTTTTCTAGCTCAGGCCAGCCCTAGGTTACAGCAATCATTAGGCAGTGCTGGTTGAATAGGCTACACTTTGGAAAATCAGTTATGGTAAAGGATTGGGTGAGCCTAGAATGCCTTAAAGGAAAACAATATCACTTATTGTTATGTTTTTCTAGTGAGTTAAAGCAAGAAACTTCACACCACCCTTTGCACATAGAGTATTCTGTTGTGTTCTGTGTTACAGCTGTGTCATAGTACATCATGATCAAGAGAGTTGTTTGCACAGGTGTGTGTATGGGTGTGTGTGTGTTTACTGAGACTTGAACTCAGGACCAGGGTGCTGTCCTTGACCTTCTTTTGCTCAAGGCTATTGCTTTACCACTTGAGCCTCAGCTCCACTTCCAGGTATTTTGGTAATTTATTGGAGGTAAGAGTCTCATTGACTTTCCTGCCTGGTTGGTTTTGAACTTGGATCCTCCTGAGTAGCTAGGATTATAGACATAAGCCACCAGTGCTTGACAGGAGATGTCTTTTTAGGGTAGCTTATAATCTTGTCAACAGAAAGTACACAGTAATTTCACTTGACCCACAGTCAGCTGTGTTTCTTGGATAACATGTGCCACCTTTCTGGTCTCGACGCTCCCACCTTCCTGAGTTAAGGGGCAGCTTTGTAAGAACCCTTCTGAGATCAAGGCCAGTGGTCAGAGCACACATTTTGCCCTGTTCTCTATGCTTGGGATGCCCTGGGTCAAGGCTCAAACCTCCTGATCAACTCTGGTTCATTCTCCCAGATTAACACACCACTGCACAGCCTCCTGATGCTTCTTCTCTCTCATTTCTGCTCTTGATTTATTTGATCTCTGAGCAAATAATACAAACAGCTCTTAATTACCCTTCAAACCTACACCGAGTCTCCATGAGGTTACTGCTTATTTGGTATATTATTGAAATTCCTGGGAACATTTTCCAGCAGTCTGCTGGTTGGTTCCCTGGGGAGAAGGGTTTTGCTGTGGAGGATATAACTCTCCTATTAGGGTTTTCAGGATTGAGGAGAGCAGTTAGTCCCCTGCCTGCCATTTAGCATCCAACATTTTAAATTATTCATATTGATTTGCAATCCTTACAGATTGTATGTGATCACATGGGTGCAGACTCCAGCCTTGCCAAGAAGCCCTGGTTGGTGTGTCTTGATGACAGGTTTGGCTTAGCTCATCAAATCCGCAACAAGCAGTGCCGCCTCTATTCTCTAGGGTGAGTACATTTTTTACCCCTGCAGAAGAAAACACAAACATTCCTACAGACAGCCCTGGCCTCTTCAGGTACACCAAGTTATGACTGGTTGCTGTGTTTACAGGTCTATACTTTGTCTCCTGCCATTGTTACGGACTGATTTGTTATACCACTTTAGGCACAAGCAGAGCTCTGAGGCCGCCTTGTCTGGAGCTGCCTTTATTTATTTATTTTCTTTCTTTCTTTATTTTCTTCCTATTCTTTGAACTCAGGAACTGTGCTTGCCGGGCTAGGGCTCTACTACTTGAGCCACACACACCCCTGACTCTGTTATGACCAACATACATCTTTGGTGCTTATACCAATCAGGACAGGCTAGCTGATGGTATAGTCCATGTGGATGTTTGGCTTTCAAAGTTCAAAGGATTAAAATAACAACCTTTATTTTCTTGTACATGATGCTTTTCCAGTGGAAGTTGGTGGGGGTGGTAAAAGGCAAGGTTTCAGCTTGTTGCTGCCATTCAGAAACTCAGGCAATACTAGGGTTTGATTGTAGGGCCTTACACTTAGTAGGAAAGCACTCTACTACTTGAGCCCCCTAGCCTATTTTTTTGTTTTATTTTTTTCCCCCAAATAGGATCTTGTCTTTTGTGGAGGCAGGCTGGGACTGTGATACTCCTATTTACATCGCCCATGTAGCTGAAATGGCAGGTATGCCTCAGCATGCTTGACTTGTTAGTTGAAATGGAGTCTGCTTGATATGAACTTGAGCTATGGTTCTTAGTCTCCACCTCCTGAATGGACATAATGACAAGCATAAGCCACCTGCCTGGTCTGAAGTCACTTTTTCTCCCATTCTGAGGATAACAAATTGGCAGCTTCAGTTTTCTCAAGATAAGTAAGAATAATCCTCTTGGTGAAAATGATCATTCCCGGGTAGAATTAGAGCATCCTCATTATAAAAAGAGAGAACACTAATTACCTACAGCTAGGAAAAATTTATCATTATCAAGAGCAGTGGCTCTTGCTTGTAAATCCACTTATTTGGAAGGTGGAGATAGGAGGATTGTAATATGAGGCCAACTTGGGCAAAAAAGTTAACAAAATTCTATTGTAACCAACAAGCCATGTGTGGTGGCTCATGTCTATAGACCAGCTTTTCAGAAGGAGAAGGACTGAGGTCCAAAGCTGGATCCAGGCAAAAGCAGAAGATTGGGGATTTGGTTCAGTGGTAGGGCTATTGCCTAGCCCTGTGTTCTATTCCCAGTACTGCAAAAAAAAATTGTGTGTGTGTGTATATGTGTGTGTGTGTGTGTGTGTGTGTGTGTGTTGATCTTTGTGCTTGAGCTCAGGACTTAAGTGCTGTCCCTGAGCTTTGTTGCTCAAAGCTAGTGCTCTAACACTTGTGACACAACTCCACTTTTCTTTTTTCTTTTGGTGGTTAATTGGAAATAAGAGTCTCATGGATTTTCCTGCCCAGTCTGACTTTGAACCAGGATCCTCAGATCTCAGCCTCTGGAGTAGCTAAGATTACAAGTGTGAGCCACTAGTGTCAGCTATAGTTTTATATTTGACTAAAAAGAAAGTGAAGGGAACTTTTACCAAAAAAAAATCCTGTGAAAATTGATAGTTATTCAAGCTGAAAATGATCTTGACGCACGCATGGATCTAAGGAGCTTTCTGTAAAAAGGATAATATAAGAGACTATTTCACCAAATATTTCATCGAACAGGCTTGAACTTCAAATGATATCTATTCCAAGACAAGGCAGGAGCAAGTTATTTTGTTTTGGAACACCCTAATCTATGGATGCTTATAGAAGCTATGTAGGTTCTCGGGCTAGACTACTGAACAAAGAACCCGGGGCCCTATCAAGTGCAGCATGCTTGTTCATCATCTATGCATTTCACCATCAACCTCTACACTTTATGTTCTGACAACAGCCACAGTAGTCAGTCTTATCAGCAGCCATCTGATATGAAGACCTCACCAAAGGTGCCCCAAGAATATTATCACTACTATAAAACTCTAACCAACAAGAATTACCAATCATTATGACTTGAAAATAAAGCAAAAAGGTTCAACTAAAAGTTTAAACATTGGGAACCACTCTTATATGGATAAATGAGTTATACATACACATGGCATCTATCAGTGAGACTCGGCATACAGTAGACATTCAATATTTGCTCTGTAAATGATGGCCTGAAGAGAGGAGTCCATGCAAGGACATCGGGCTTCGAGTGTGAAGGCTGGGGTGGATGCCAAGCTGCTCAGCCTGTTGGTTAGAATTGAGCTCTTTTCCTTGAGAATCACAGCTACACTTCCAGTCTGCAGGAAGAGCCAGAAATAGTGACAACAGAGTTTATGCCACATGAAAAACTTGTCCAAAGTAGTAAAAAATAGTTGCATGTCACCACATGTGAATTGGAGATCTCAGCTTTAGCCTACTTTTGTTGCTCCAGGCTGTCTTTATAGTTTACTTAACATTATACACACTGGAATAATTAATGTAAACTATATACAATAAAAATAAAACTTGTAAAGTTATTTTTTTGGAAAAATTCTAAATTCCTTTTTTTCCCTTATACATAAGAACTGTTGGATATGATGGTTCTGCTGTAATACATCAAATTATTACATACAAAAAGGCATGTGTGTGCGTGCATACATGTGCACACACTAGAACTTGAACTTAGGACCTGGGCACTGTCCCTTAGTTTTCTTGCTCAAGGTTGGCACTTGACTATTTGAGATACAGCTCTACTTCTGGCTATTTGGTTGTTAATTGGAGATAAGAGTCTCACATCTTTTCTTGTTTGGCTGGCTTTGAACTGAGATCCTTGACTCAGTTTTGCTCAATACCCATCCTCAAGCAATCACTTCTTGATGTTCTGTCTTTATAGATAGATTCACCTATTCTGGATAGTTCATGAAATGGAAATAATATGTGACCCTTTTGTGAGTGTGTGCTTTAGTTACCATGTCCTCAAGTTTTACCCACATTGTTGCATGCATGTAGCAATACTCTGTCCCTTTTTATGTCTGAATACTATTCCAATGTTCATGTGGTTATAGTCACATGAACAAATGTCCTTCAGTTGATGGACATTTGGGTTGGTTCCACTTTTCAGTTATTATGTTCAGAAAGGGATATTCACATATAAGGTTTTAAGTAGGCAAATGTTTACATTTATATTGAGTATATAATATTTCAGGTTCACACAAATAACCTCTGGTAGTTCTAGTTTCTCCACATCCTTACCAATATTTACTATTATTGATCTTCAATTATAGCCACCCTGATGTATTTGAAATGATATCTCATTGTGGTTTCATTTTAATATCCTTACTGGATAATAATCTTGAATATTTCCTCCTCATGCTCTAAAATTTTCTTTCCAAAAGAACATAAAGGCCATTAACCTTAATACTGTGATACATATCTATACATCTATATATATATATATATATATATATATATATATGAACTTAATACTCTCAAGTGTGTGTGTGTGTGTGTGTGTGTGTGTATGTGTGTGTGTGTGTACGCCAGTCTTGGTGCTTGGACTCAGGGCCTGGGCTCTGTCCCTGAGCCTCTCTTGCTTAGGGTTAGTGCTCTATCACTTGAGCCACAGCACAACTTCCAGCTTTTTAGGGTAGTTTATTAGACATAAGACTTTCTTGGACTTTCCTGCTTAATTTAGCTTTGAACTGAAACCCTCAGATCTCAGTCTCCTGAGTAGCTAGGATTACAGTCCTGAACCACCAGCACCTGATTCTCAATTTTTTTTTTTTGCTGGTCCTGGGTCTTGAACTCAGGGCCTAGGCTCTGTCCCTGAGCTTCTCTGTGCTCAAAGCTGGTGCTCTACCACTTGAACCACAGCACCACTTCTGGCTTTTTCTGAGTAGTTTATAGAGATAAGAGTCTCATAGGCTTTCCTGCCCAGGCTTGCTTTGAATGATGATTCTCAGATCTCAGCCTCCGGAGTAGCTAGGATTACAGGTTTGAGCCACCAGCACCTGGCTCTCACAGATATTTTTAAGAGTATCCAACGACCTGGCACAGAGGTACAACCTGTCCCTTTTATTATGTTTGGTGACATGAAAGGGCATGTGATTGACAATACCACCTTCAGCTCGTCCAAAGAACACCTTTATATAACTTGCAAGCAAGAACCTCCTTCAAGAACTCTTACCAGAATCCACAACAACATCATCACAATGGGCATTATGGTGTGAATGACACACCCCCTAGAGTTGTTCAGTGTACAACTTATACAACCATAAATGGGGACTCCAGATCCTTTTCTTTTGGCATTAGAGAAAGAAGGCCAAGATGGTTGCCCTGTTACTCCATTATCTTTGGAAATCTCTATTACTTTGGTTGTTCTGTTACTCTATTACCTTTCTATTTCTTCAATAGTTCTTAGATTTGATGGTTCTTCTATGCTGAAAATTGTATCATGATCTCAAACCCAACCTTAATTAAGATCAATAAGCATGAGTTATATAATTGTATCTCTCACCAGAGAGGGAAAGATTGCAGTATTCATTCAAAGGCTGATGCCTTTGAATGTACTTCTCAGCTGCTAAACTGTTTCAGCAATGGGTTGTAGTAGGAACTGCTAATATATCTCCAATACCTATTTCCTATTCTTCCTTTAGTAACAGACCTGAGGTTAGTGGGGCACATGGTCACCCTACTGCTGGCTGCATTTCCTGTAGCTCTAAGTGGCTATCTGACCAGCTGGGAGCACTACTTGTGAGTATAAGTGATGTGTGCAACTGTTAGGCTGAGGACCCACTGGAATGGAAGTTACATGACTGCTTCTTCCCTTCCTACCTCTCCTGATAGCTGGAAAAGGGTAGGATGAGGGAAAACTGGGCCACCATTTTACACTTTGATCTGAATTAGTGTGGCCTATCCTTCTTGCTTCATAGAGTAAACATTGGAATGTTTCTATGATGTAAATTTTTCTATGAGGAATTCTCTTTCTAGTTATATAAAAGCATAAAGT